ATCGTCTAAAAGGTAGTATAAAACATAGTAGAAAACCAAATTGACTAATAGAGAAAATTAAAATTGTGTTTCTTCGCTATCAAAAAACATTACACATTACGTTTTAGTAGCAACAGAGATCCTTGTGAAACAGTTCGTCCAGGGAAGTTCTGCCGCCTTACCTATTTCTGCCGCCAAGCAGTAATGTAAGCAGGCGAAATTACAGACACATAGGAATTCCCAACTTACTATGTCGCAGGACCAGTGGCGGGTTTGCCCTAAGGCCCAGTAGGCCCGGACCTAGGGGCGGCCAATCGTGACAAAAATTCACTGATGATGACAAGAAATAACTCAAAGTACCTAAATATTCTAAAGCCTCACGCACATTATGGCGGGCCGCACTGCACCGCATCGTATAACAATAATCTTCCTAAATAGAAAGAAAGAAAGAAAGAAACATTTATTCGGCTATTACAAATAAAATATACAAATAATAATAATAATATTAATCTAAATTTAAATTAAAAAATAAACCACTAAAAACAATAATCAAAAAATATATATATTACTAAGTACATAATTAATAGCCGAAAAGGCTAGTCAGCTCAGCTTAATGCTGGGCAGTGCCACAGCGCTGATTTTCAGCTGAAGCCTGAGAAGAGGTAGATAGGCTATGCCTATTTAATCACTTTCGTACATTTTATGTATATAGTAGTATAATCACTACATCACTACATATTATCATTACCGCGTCTGTCTGTCTGTCTGATTGCGATAAATTCGAAAAGTACTGAACGGATTTTACACCAATAGACAGAGTGCAGCTATTATAGTTAACTAAATTTCTCAAACGATTTCGATAAAACTTGGCAATAAAGTAAATTCATTATGTAGTCTACCAGTATATGATGAGTGCTGAGAAAGGGGCGGCTAGTACTGACTACATGGCCTGGGGCCTAGGCCGGCCAAGACTGCAAATCCGCCACTGCTCAGGACGACAGCCGCAGTGGCAATGCCCCTAAGATCCTTGCAATTAATATCTCTAAGTGGCACTGCAACTGCTATGGACAAGTGTGTCGCTTACCACCAGGTACACGAGTCGTTCATCCCGTCACTTTAATATTTTTTTTATAATATCAAGTGACAGGATGAACGAGAGAAGAGCTAGTATGTATTAAAACATGTGATTTTAGGTTTTTGATACCGAATTTTCTTATCATAGATAACTTTCCCATGAAACTGAAAATGAAGAATAATCTCTTTTTTTATTTAAAACTGCACTTAATGAATTTTACCTTTCAACAGACGATATTTGTGTAAAACTAGAGCAGAACCCAAGAATGCAAAATAAACGTTTTATAGGGCCTCAAAAACCTAATTACGGCACTGAATTTTATTTTACACGATGTAAATATTCATTTTTTAATGTCTTTTTACACCTTATTATTATGATATTGTTATTTTAACATGTACACTTACGTAACTGTAAAAATTTCAAACAGTATTCAAAAGGATTTAGTTCTCTTTGTTTTTAAATTGCTTTAACACATCATAGTATATAAATACAGGGTTACTTGTAAAATAGGACTATGGAGGTAGATATTAATAACATCATAAACAACTTGATATTATTAACAAAAAAAATTCGCCAATACTCATGGCCCTTTAGTGTAATTTATTCATTATCTACGGTCATTACTTATTAGTATGTCTGAGATTTGAAAAAGGATCTGGAAAAGGCATTTCGTTCACTGGAAAGCAGTGGCAACATTTAGTAGTTGAAAGAAAGATGGCGAAAGCTGCCCTAATAACGACGTAGAGCCGTTCATGGACTTTGTTAGTATAATTTTGCGTTTTAGTTTATGCCCAGTTATCAATATATTTTTGTATATTTTTAGAAGACGGGAAAATAAAATGTAAAAGTTGTATTATAGCATAGATGCAAGAACACAACGCAATTGATTCAGATTCAGATTCAGATAAAATACCTAATGATATAATCAATTAACCAGTAATGACATAAAGCAACAAATAAAACACAATGTGATAAAAATATTTAGACAATATTTAAATGAGAGATAATGAAAGTTGCAAACATTGACTTACAATTATATGGACGTCGGGTCCGCGCTAAAAAGTGTCCGAACTTATAGGGCGTTAAAATCGTATACAGAGCGTCATTCACGCTTTAGTCTTCGTTTGTTCGACTGACAGCGAAGCAAGCAAAATTAGACAGTACTGCGATGACATTACAATTTAAATTCAACGTTTTAGCTTTTTCATATTCCTTTACATGTCACTACGTTTAAATAGGTTCACTTGGGACATTTTTTTCGTGGTTTTTGTATTAGACCCGTCGTCCATTTATTTGTAAGTCAATGGTTGCAAAGGAACGTTTTGACAAGGGACATCTTGCCAATGTCAATGTCACATTGATATTGAGAACAGTGTGACAATTTGTGGCAGATTTCTGCCATTTGGGCAGATTTATTTTTTATTCATATTCATTGGAGCAGAACATGATAAGTTATATTAAATGTGGCAGAGTTTGGCGGGTTTGGAAATATTCGGGAAGGTCTTTATTATTTTTGGGAACAAACTGAAAACTTGTTGTTTTCTGCTACTACGAGCAAACATCTGAAGCGAAATACAAGACAATATTATAAACATAACCTATATTAACATTATAACCCCAGCTTCTACAGGCTGTACTCAATTAGCTTTTTTGGTGCTTTGATAATGAATCACAAGTATTCATAATGCACGTCGTCAAAAACACTAGGTCACAGAATATACGGATGTTGCCATCCTTCTTTAATAATTAAGGCGAGGTATTTTAACGCAAGCCTAGATTTTAGGAGTTGAGGTATGGGGGTCTGTAAATTAATATGAATAAAATAAGGCGAAGCAAGTTTGACATAGGTCCGACGTAATTGACGGGCAGTATGCAGCGCGACGTGTCTTTGAACCGCTGGGCAATTTTTGGATAAGTGTGAATTTAATTAGTATACAACTTTAGTTCGTTATTTCTTTCGTTTATGGCGCGTATAAAATACGCCGTGTGCAAATGCTCTTAAAGTTCTAAGATGTAATTGTAGCGTTACGACGATCGATTGTGTAATAATTAATGTTTCTTTTTTTACTAATTATTTTAATATTATAATAACTACTTTTGTTTCTTGATTTTTAACAATTCATTCTATTTCACTTTCGGACAAAAGTAAAAATATTTATCGATTTACTAATACGGTTCATTTTGCTTGGACCGAGCGACCAGTGTCCTTGGCTTTATTTCAAATTTTTTTTTACAAACGAAATTAAAACCATATTTAGTTCAATCGATATAAAAAAAACATTGGTATATGTAAAGTACCTATAGAATACGGCGGTTTTCTTGTAAAATTTCGAGGTAAGTTTGAGTTTTTTTTATAGTGAAAATTTTTAGAAATCGTGTTTTCACACCGTATAACTGCACTGCACTGATTATGCTTAGAATAATAACGCATAGAATGATAGTTTCATATCAAACGAACTGTCACAAGTGAGGCAAAAATCAAATTCATGTAGGCTAGTTTTAGTAGTAGGTTAATTTTCGGTTTTGGTCAATATTTATATAAAAATACAAGTTGAAACGCGTTACTTCCTTGTGGAATGTGATGTTAGTATCTATTTTATGTTTGTCTGACGTATTTTTACACTCATTTACCGCACATTTCGTCATTTTTAGCTAAAATTCTTGATCTGTTCGCGGTGCAAGTTGAGATTGAGCACTGAAGGCCCGCCCGCTCGAGTAGGCCCTTTGGGAGCGCTTCAATTCGCCTCACTTAGCGTGTGCGGACTAGGTTTCTATGCGTTATTATTCTAAGAATCAGTGTATAACCTCAATTTCACTATAATATATTTTTTTCCAAAGTGGTAAATTCAACACTTTCACTGTTATGCGAAAACAACCAAAGCCATTTGAGTTTGTGTCGACTCTTAAATAGATCGCTCTAAACGGTAACTGTGCAAAACACAGGAGCGCTGATGGGGGTCGTTTGAGCTTACTACCAGATACAGATTTCAGATAGTACCTACAACAAAAATTTTAAAGTATTTTTGGGTTATCTATCAGAAGTCCGAAATGACATTTTCCAGAAGTAACGTTTGCTCTAATTTTCATAACCTCGAAAGTAATTTTGAGAGGAAAATGTTTTTTCTTTTAAACCTAACTTAATCTAACCTATCCGAACCTATCGTTTATCGTTTATCGCGTCTTTGCGATAAACATCCAACATATCCTGAAAGAGCAGCGGTTTCGTTATAATTTGGTTTTCGGGGTAAGGAAAATTCAAACAAACGTTATTTCAGACAAAATAAATTCGAGTTTGTGACCCGGTTACCATTTTTTGGTCATGGTAGAAAAATTGTTGTTTATAATGTTAGTATATAGGCTACGAGAATGCGGTTTTACAAGTCGCCCTGTATACACTTTTGAATAAGCACGTATACTTAACGATGTCTACAAACCAAACATAGACAATTAGAACGCCATTTAAATTAAAAAAATATTTTCATTCAACAATTGATCAGGAATACGGCTTTATGGGTATGGCCCTTAACCCCAAACATGTGTTGCTATTAGATATGCGTTCGTTCGATCAGGCGCTCCGATCATATATGCACGCGCACGCTTCCGTATTGCGTATGCGCAGTGAAAATGGCAACGCCAGAAATTGACATTTCTAAAATAAAACTTAGTGACTTTATATTCGAAGATGTTTTGTTTATACATTACTGGCGTCGCCATTTTCGCTACGCATGCGCAATATAGAAGCTTCCGTGTGCGTACGATCGGAGCGCCTGATCAAACTGATAAAAATTTGATTACTATAGAAAATACGTTATTTCATTTTTTCCTTTCAAAAAGTATTTGTATAACTGTTTTTTTTCGTCGGCGCGCTGCCGCTGGCTGGTCTATTATCGGTGCTCATTTCTAATTGCTATAGGGGCTCGAGGTGCTAAGGGGGCCCTTATTTTTCTTAAATATCATCATCTCGGTCGTCAGTTCTGTGTCGTTGTAGCACTGCAAGCCTCTGCTGCGTCACTTCTAGGTGGTGTTTCCTCCATTTTATGCGGCGGTTCTGGAACCATACTTTCACCTGTCGAGAGAGAATTGGTTTTTTTTTACATAATTCATAATCAATGATCGGAAAAAGGTGTTCCACATATATGCATAGATCCATGTATATACATGTATAGCTATAAGGAGCGATGAACTATATAATGACATCTCTTTCTTTTTTGATGTTTCGAATCGTCCTATCTTAGTATAATGTTAAAGTACTTAATATTATTTACATTCAGAGAATTTTAACTGCCAAAAAAAAAGAAAAGTATGTAATAATGAAATCTATTAAAATTACGTTGTTTTCAATTATTTTTCTGCATTTTCATGAAGAAAAATAAATAAAACAAGCTGAGTCTTGATTGTCACGTTGTGAATTCGGAATTATAGTCTAGTGTCAACTGTTAGTGTCATCAAGGAGTATATAGATGTCGCTGTCATAATTTTACGAAATAAACTACGCGTATTTTTATTTAACGAGAAATATTTCCTATGTACTATTAAATAAAAAAAGTAAACAAAATATTGAAGAGACATATATACATAAATAAGTCCAACTTAACTTTTAATCATTACAAATCAATATTTAGACAATATAATTCAACTTACAAATCAATATAATTCGAAAATAATATTGTTTCCATTGCATCCGTGTAACTATTTTAAGATTGCTAAATTTGACAAAAGAACAATATTACTTTAATGTTAAAGTTCATAGTACGAACTGAGTGAATGAATAGTCACAAAGCTGCCAATAAAACAACATAGTTTTAACATTGTAATAAGCTTACTTTAAGCGCGTCATGGTGCGAAAAATGAATGTAAGGTTAAAATAATATTGTCTTAAGAGTTTGTGGTAGGCCCCCAGGATTCTATTAAATATTTTTTTTAATTTTTTTTTTATATAATAATAACGCACACACTCAACATAGCCCCGCACTAGGGAAACCCTGTGTCGCGGGTGCCATGGACACACACATAGACAACCACAAATTACACCCAAAACTCACGAGAGAAATAAATGTAGGCCATACAAATATTTCTCCCGGCCCGGGAATCGAACCCGGGGACCTCTGCGTGGCAGTCCGGTATGGTAACCGTTCGCCCACGGAGGCAGTTTAAGATAAATAACTCTCATCAAAGTCCGTCGCGGAGATAAACGCATGTACAAGACAAACGCGTCTATTCCACATGAAGCCCTACAGAAACTTTGATTAATTAATTAATTACGATTTGGGGACGTTAGGTTTTTTGAAAACGAGGCACCTATCCCACTGCGGCGTCTATCCCGGTTTTACCCTACATTACTCTTTTTACTTTACTTTTAAAGAGAAACTTACTTGAGCTTCGGTGAGTTGCAATGCATGGGCCAAGTACAGTCTTTCAGGGCCCACCATATATTGTTGTCTCTCAAATTCGGCCTCGAGTCTTTCCAGCTGCTCAGGTGTGAAGATAGTCCGTATACGTTTACTTCTACCCGAACTACAAACGAACGAAAAAAATCGTTCTTAATAAAAAAACACGTTTTGTGACCTTGGTATGCTAAAATAACATTTGATGTTTGATCAAAAGTTTTTAAATACATGAAAGTCATAATCATAATACGAATAAATGGAGCAAGTTATGTAAAGTCACAAAGGATAACTATTATAGATAATTATTAAACATAATGTGCAACAACATGAATGAAGTTCCGTCGCATATCACTAGATGGCAATGAACAACTTTTATACATTTTTAAGTCTTTTTTTAGAAAAAAGGTCGTTAAAAACCATAAACGAAGATCTGCAACAAGCTCATAGAAAAAATCGGAAAGTCCGCTAGTTCGTTCCATGGCTAAGTTGACATAGAGTCTGCCACGGTTTGCTGGAAGACGTTGGGTCGAATCCCGTCGGATTGAAGGTTTTGTTTAAGTGTTCGTATTAATCTTTGTATTAATAATTATAACAAACTACATTAGTGGAGTAATTTCACAAAAATAATTTAATATTATGGTGGTCAAACATTGTGACCTTCAATAAAAAAAAGCTTAAAACAATAAAAAAACGTTCCCTTAAAAAAAATCTTGAAAATGTACAAATTGTTCAATGCCATCTAGCGATATGCGACGGAACTTCCTTTGCACATTGCGTGATAGTTTAACCCCGGACGCCAATAGAGGGCAGTTATAAGTTTACGGAATTTATCTGTGAGGCTGTCTGTGAAGGGTGCGTACATATATTTTATTTCAAATATATTATAATAGCTTTTTCACGCAATATAACGAACGTTTAAAAATACAATAACAAACTTATATTTCACAATTTCATTTTTGATAACAATCATCATTGACTTACAATTATATGGACGTCGGGTCCGCGCTAAAAAGTGTCCGAACTTATAGCGCGTTAAAATCGTATACAGAGCGTCATTCACGCTTTAGTCTTCGTTTGTTCGACTGACAGCGAAGCAAGCAAAATTAGACAGTACTGCGATGACATTACAATTTAAATTCAACGTTTTAGCTTTTTCATATTCCTTTACATGTCACTACGTTTAAATAGGTTGACTTGGGACATTTTTTTCGTGGCTTTTGTATTAGACCCGTCGTCCATTTATATGTAGGTCAATGACAATCATTAATTAAATCATTAAAAAACCGACCTCAAAACTTTGTGGAATTACATTTATTTGCCAAGTTTTATTGATATTCATCCCCTACTTTACCACCCTTAGAAGTGGAATACTTTCTTCAAATTTGAGCGGAAACAATCATCAAAATCGGTTCACAAGTGTCAAAATAATCGCGTAACAAAAAGAAAAGATAACACACTCGAATGGGAACCTCGTCCTTTTTTTGGAATCCGTTAATAAAATAGAATTGCAAGTGTAAAAACAATAACAACTCACCTATTAGAACAGGTAATAGAATGATTCCTAGTGGTTTTCATTTGACCAGGTTGTGGCCTTAACTCGGGCCGTGGACTATCTGAAAAAAACAAACAAAACTACATTATTACCACAGTAAAATAAGAGTGACAACTCCGTACAAAGCAACAGAGCGGCTTGTATTTGTGTATACGGACGCACACATTCACATAATAATGAAAGACGCGTTGGCAGAAATGGGCAAGCGATCGAGTTTTAATGGTTTTAACCCGACGCTTTGCTTTGCCGGGTTTAAATCGGGTTAATACACATTAATGCCCAAAATCGGGGGCAAATTCTATTTAATTCTAAATATTTGTTGTAAATCGTAATAAATGTAAGTGTAAGAATTTGATAACTGAAAAAAATTGCTTCTAAAATTGTCATAATATTATGAAGAAACCGAAAATCTTCCCCATGCTGCTCAATGAAGTGTTTTCACATCAAAATACACACACTGTTTTTCCCAGAGACACGCAAGGCACACACACACACGTTTTCAGTGAGAGAATTATTTAGACAGATTATATAATTCTGATTAATTTAATTTTTTAAATTACTATTTTTTCTTATTATACTGTTGTATTCGTGTATATCATTTTTGCATAATGTATAAATAAAGTAACGACAATTGTATATTTTATTTTTTCTTTTTCAAATACCAGCGGTTATTTGTACTGATTATTTGATACTTGCTGTACACTATGCATGTTGTTATTATAATATTATTAAAAAAAATTTATTGCTTTCTAATCTAAACGTTTCGATTTGCCTTTCTATTGAATTGGTCAGCTTGAAAATCGCATGGAAATAAATCGATACAAAAATCCGTTGAATCGTATGCCCTTGAATCGGTTTTCATAAAAATCGAACGTAATGTGCATCCTTATTAATGAGAATCCACAGGGTTGCAAAAAAGGTGACTGGTGTGACGTGAAGAGTTGTGAGGATTTGCCTCTTTTCCATCTAAAAAAGATTATTTTACACATTGACTTACAATTATATGGACGTCGGGTCCGCGCTAAAAAGTGTCCGAACTTATAGGGCGTTAAAATCGTATACAGAGCGTCATTCACGCTTTAGTCTTCGTTTGTTCGACTGACAGCGAAGCAAGCAAAATTAGACAGTGCTGCGATGACATTACAATTTAAATTCAACGTTTTAGCTTTTTCATATTCCTTTACATGTCACTACGTTTAAGTAGGTTGACTTGGGACATTTTTTCGTGGTTTTTGTATTAGACCCGTCGTCCATTTATTTGTAAGTCAATGATTTTACATCGAAATTTGTAATAAGTATGGAATTATACCAAACTCCGTATTCTCCGGGTTTTCACCCACTGCCCATCTCTGCTCGTTGGGACGACAATGTTATGCAACACTACTGCACCGTGAGATTATGCGACTGTGTACGTCCATACACGGAGAGCAGCGGGCGTGCACACCAGGATTGTCGCGAATATCAACATCCGCATGTGACGGGACGAACAAGTCGTGCGCGTGATGGTAAGCTGCACGCCTGTCCATAACAGTTGCAGTACCACGCAAGAGCTCTAAATCGTAAAGATCTGAGGGGCACTGCCACTGCGCCCGTCACCCTGAGAGATAAAATTGATAAGTCCTATGTGTCTGTAATTTCAACAGCACCCTTACCCTTCTAAACCGGAACGCAGTAATGCTTACATTACTGCTTGGCGGCAGAAATAAGTAAGGTGGCAGTACTTCCCTGGAATCAATTCAATCATAAATTAAAATATTCGCATCAGCCTCCGCATTCACTGATGCTGATATTCATAGCGGATGTTCGAGTCGTGATATGGCCTAAAAGGTACGCTGGAATAATTTACAAACTTTCCAGAAACAGACTGTAAGCCGAAAAGGCAGCTCAGCTGTTGTTTTTCAAATATAACTTTGATCAAATTCAGCAATAATTGATTGTTTTCATGCAAATTGATTCTTTTGTTAATAAATGTCACAAAATCATTTAAATAATATTTTATTACAATACCATAGAAAATAGAAAGTTTTTCGTGTAGATAGATTCAGGAAGGATGTACATTTAGTAACCTTACTATTTCTGCCGCCAAGCAGTTAATGTCAGCATAACTATGTTCCGGTTTTGAAGGGTAATTGTGCTGGTAATATTACAGGCACAGAACTTGTCAACTTATGTCTCAGGGTGACGGGGGCAGTGGCAATGCGCCTCAGATCTTTGCTATTTAAAGCACTGAGTGACATTGTAGTTGTTATGGACAGGCGAGAAGCTTACCTCAGACGCACAAGTTGTTCGTCCCGTCACTAGATGTTGTAAAAAAATATATATTTTCGCGTTTTTTATTAAATACATAAAATCAGCACCCGCATCAGCATCTGCTGATGTTAAGGTCGAAAATCCAGCATCCGCTGATGCGTAAAAAACCTGCATCGGCAACAATCCTGATGCATACATACAAACCGCGCAACTACGTTTGCATAGAGTTGCCACACTTGTGTTATTATATTACGTTTCTGACGGTGTGACCTCCTTACACCGTCATCCCACATTTTTGTATCGCCTCTCTCCACTTGTATCGTATCATTTTTTCTTTTACTTGTATTTAAATTTCAATTGTTCCATGTTCATTCGCTTTCTAATTTTGTTTCGTACCACGGTCACTCCCTGCTCGACCGCCACAACAGTCGGAGCTGTTTCAAATTCAATCGCGTATAATCGCTAATTTTGGTTCTTTACTACGTTTATAATCGTCATTAAATAAGCTAAATCATGTGTAGTAATCTATATCAGCCTTCATGTACCTAAGATTACGTATCTGTAACACAGTTACTCGGCCCTTTTAAAGGTAAGTAAGTGCCTTAATCATAAAGTGTAGGGAGTGTTTTTTTTATTAATGTACTGTTTTCTACATCTGCCTTTTATCTGTTACAGTTTTTTTACTTTACCTTTTACTTCAAGTTAAATAAATTTGTGGACCGGAAGTTTCCTGTTTTACTGAAGTGATCCTGATAACGGTTGTTAGGGTTACAACCCTTTCACGTTATTACTTTCACTGGACTTTGTGGCTATCGAATGGGAGTATGTTTACCACTATGATATTCATTAGTTTTTGTGAAATTACTCCACTTCATAGTTTGTTATAATTATTTTTACGAAAGACACCTAAAACATTGACTTACAATTATATGGACGTCGGGTCCGCGCTAAAAAGTGTCCGAACTTATAGAGCGTTAAAATCGTATACAGAGCGTCATTCACGCTTTAGTCTTCGTTTGTTCGACTGACAGGGAAGCAAGCAAAATTAGTCAGTACTGCGATGACATTACAATTTAAATCTAACGTTTTAGCTTTTTCATATTTCTTTACATGTCACTACGTTTAAATAGGTTGACTTGGGACATTTTTTTCGTGGTGTTTGTATTAGACCCGTCGTCCATTTATTTGTAAGTTAATGACCTAAAATAAATTTCTTTGATCCGGCCGGATTCGAACCAACGTCTTCCAGCACACTCACGTGCCCCACGCGTCTTCTCGTCTTAGGCCCTGATAGATGGCACTACGGTAAAAAAATCGTCAAAAACTAAAAACGCAGATCTACAACAAGCACTTAGAAAAATTCGTAAGTTCCGCTCGTTCGTTCCGTGGTTTAATTGGCATGGCGTCTAGCATGCTTTGCCGGAAGGCACTGGTTCGAATCCAGCCGGGTCGAATGAATTTTTGAAGTGTTCAATCTTTGTGTTAGTAATTTCATCAACCTATAATAGTGGAGTAATTTCACAAAAATAATTTAATATAACGTTGGTCAAACATCGTAATATTCAATTAAAAAAATTTTAAAAATGTATATAAAAGTAGTTCAATCCCATGTAACGATTAATTTACCGGTTTTGTGCAACAAGGGTGGATAACACATGAAAAAAAAATATTTTTAAATGTTTCTAATTGTTTTCAAATAATAATAACACATGAATATTTTAGTTAAATCATAAGACAGATAAATAATACCTAAAGTATATAAGAGTCATATTATAAATATTAAAAACATACAAGACCAAGTTAATACTTATTCATAGTGCACTTTAGTTATAAAAGCATCTGAATTTCCGACCACTGATTGTAAGGTAACTGTATTTTAAAAATATTTATTTCTAAAACGAAGACGTTTATTTCAAGGTGATACTTTTTTTGGGTTATTTTCTATAGTACAGAGCGATAATATTATAATTGTTTTATAGAGTATTTTTTTGAGATACTACTATGGTCATGAAAGTTTTATCGTTCCTTCTTTCATTTAAAAGCATTTTTTTTTCATATTAAGCATGAATTTAACTAAACTATAGTTAAATCTTTGAATCACAAATATGATGTTCAGAACAGCCACAAAGCCACCGAAACAATGAATTTATTGCAAAATCAAATTTCCCGATCGCATAATTTCACGAAATTCAGCCGTTAAGTGGCCAGCTCGATCATGTGATTATTTTTTATGGGATTATGTTCAAGACAGAGTCTATACGGAGCCAATTGAATCGACTGCAGCCTTAAAACTCAACATTCGTGAAGTGGTTAACGATATTGTGGGGGCGGATTATGAGAAAAACGCCTGGTTGTGAATTGAGCTTCTTGATCTTGGTCTTGCTTGGATCGCGGTGAGATTTGGAACGCCTTCGGAGTCTTGTGCAGTCAATTTTGGAATGTCGTTCCGCTCCCAACGCTCCGCTTTTTATATCATCGCTGGCCCGCCGTGCTGCTCGCATTCTATTCAAGTGTGCGAGCGGGACGCCACCAATGCAGGAGCGGGACGGGAGAACCCTACAGACTCCAAGCAAAACCCCTCTCTCCCTCTCGTTTATTTACCAAACCTTAAACTAAATTAACAATACCAAATTATAATAATAAATCACAATAATAAATTTACAATATTAAAAATCACATGGGCGCGAACACGTTTTCGTCCTGAACATATTCTCCCGCCGCAGCTTGTAGCTGGAAAGTCCTAGGGTTCGCGCTTCGTTGTCTCGTTGCCTCCCGTTGCAATGATTACCAGCTTCTTTGTAGGACGGCGCAGAACTCCTCTGTTTGTCCGCACGTCGACCGCCCTTATTTCTCCGTCGGGGCCTGGGTATGTAGCCACAATGATGCCGCGGGGCCAGGTGTTGCGTGGTAGCGTCCCGTCGGCTATGAACACCAAGTCTCCCAATTGTAGCGCGCCGTTGGTGGCTCTCGGAGTTCGTCTGTGCTGGAGATCAGGGAGGTATTCTTTTATCCAGCGTGACCAGAACATGTCGGCCAGTCGTTGGCTGGTCCGCCAGATTTTGCGCCCATCGATGTCTGTGTCCGTGAAGGCTCCAGGCAGTGGTACTCGTGAGGGACCCCCCCAGTAGGAAGTGGTTCGGAGTCAGGGGGTTCTCGTCTTCTGGAGCAGTGGATACATGGGTGAGAGGGCGGCTGTTGAGGGTGTGCTCTGCTTCGACCAATAGAGTGTGCAGGACCTCTTCTTTCGGGGCGCGTTCGTGCAGTACGGTGTACAGAGCTGTTTTGATGCTCCGTACCAGACGCTCCCATGCTCCTCCCATGAACGGTGCGCTCGGCGGTATGTATCTCCACTTGATGAACCGGATACTGGCGTCTTCCTGTATAGCTTCTAGTGCTGCCCTCTGTAGCTCGGCGTCCGCGCCGCGGAGATTGGTTCCCTGGTCAGACCACAGCTCCGTCGGGCATCCGCGTCGCGATATGAAGCGACGGAGTGCCATGATGGCGGAGTCGGTGCTCAGATCTCCGGCGACCTCGACGTGGACCGCTCTCGTGGTAAGGCAGGTGAAGATCGCTCCGTATCTTTTCTGTCGTGTGCGGCCTACTGTGACTTGGAGTGGGCCGAAGAAATCCAGCCCGGTGTATGTGAACGGGCGTTGATGGTGAGCGAGGCGGCTGGGCGGATGGTTTCCGGTCGAGGGTTGTGGAGGCGTGGCTCTCATGATGCGGCACACTCGGCAACGTTTCAGTTCGCTTCGCACAGCGTTGCGTAGTCGTAGGAGCCAGTAGTGCTGTCGTACCTCGCTGGTGGTGATGCCGAAGCCTCCGTGGTGCGTCTGTTTGTGTATCCAGGCGATATACAGTCGCACCCACGGGTGGTCTCCATCAAGCACGGCTGGTGACCGTTGTTGCTCAGTGATATCACCCGCCGCCGCTATACGCGATCGTAGTCGTATTATGCCCTCGCCGTCGAGTAGCGTTGATAATTTCATAAGGCGGCTAGAGGGGGGAAAGGGGGTCCCCCTCATGAGGGCGTTGATTTCCTCGGTGAACGCCTCTTCCTGTTGTGCTCGTATCCACAGCGACTCGGCGTGGCGTAGATATGATGCGTCGATCGTTTTAAATTTGTGTAAAACTTGCTTTCCACGCGCAGCCTCGGAAGTATTCGTCTTCTTGCTTTCTGTATTATTTTTTCGCCAAGTAGGGTCGGCGTCGGCATTTTTCCTCGTTCTCTTCCTTAAAGCGGCGCATCGTTGTGTGCGCGTCCGTAGCCTGTCTATGAACTGTAGTACGCGCGCTGTGGTCCGCATGAGGCGTATCCAACTTGAGAAACGAGTTACTTCGGGTAGAGCTTCCTTCAGTCGCGCGCCGACGCCTGTGGTGAGGTGGACCCGTTCTTCATCCGTGACGTTGACGTCCGTGACTTCCTCTTGAGGCCAATTTTCTTCCGACATATATAGAAAGTCCGGCCCCCTGTACCATCGATGATTAGAGTCGAAGTCGTGTGGCACGTCGCGGGTTAGTCGTCTGCGACGTTCATTTTGGTGGGTATCCATCTCTTTTTCAGTTCCTCGTCGCGGTCGAGTTTCTTTTCAACTAGTTCCAATCTTCTTAACGCCACGTCGTAGCTGTCAGGTGGACGAACGGGCTCGTTACGCCATAGAAGACCGGTTTCAAAGCCTCCCGCCGGTAAACGGCGGGTTTTATCTTCTAGTTGTTGCAGTGCTCGTCGCTCGTCGTCGTTGTGGCTGCGTCTCGGTGTGACAGCCAATGACTCGAGGCTGAAGTGTTCCCTCATCATCTGCTCCATGGACTCTTCATCATCAGGGGCGACAGCGTGGAGTACTTTGTGGGTGTTGACTCTTTCACTCGATCTCTTAGTGCCGTGTAGAACCCAACCTAAATCGGTGAGTGTTGCGATCGGTTGGTGTCGGTCTCCTTGTCGCACGGCATGTGTGAGTAAAAGATGCCAGTTGTCTTGACCCAGCAGTATCGTAGGTGATCCCCCTTCGTAGATGAGATGCTCTTCTAAGTCGTGCAGGTGGGGGCAAGCTCGTATGACGTTACGTGGGACTGCTTGCGGCGATAGCTTCAAGTTGTTCATGGTGCGGGCCGTTATTGTATGCTCATTCGTGTCGCGCCCGCGCAGAGAAATGCGTACTTGTTGCGATTCGCCAACGTTGATTCGCGTGCCGGCTACACCCTCAATGTAAAAGGGTGCTGGTGTACCCGCTGCGCCGATCCTTCTTGCTAGCGCCGCCTCAATCAGGCTGCACGTTGACCCGTCGTCCAGTAGCGCGAGTGCGTTGCACGTACCCTTGGGGCCCCTCACTTGCACAGGGAGTACCTTCAGTAGCGCGGTGGTGTTGCTTCTGTCTTTTGCTGATGCCACAACAAATGATGCAGGAGCTTCTTTCTTCTCCTTTGATGAGGGTGGAGTGCCATGCAGCAGTGAATGATGCATGTACTCGCAACCGTCGATGCCGCACCTCTTGTTCTTACACGTATGGCGAAATTTGCGTGTCCGTAAACAGCGGAAACATAGCCTATGTTTGCGTGCTATGTCCCACCTGGCGGCTACATCTGCTGTCTTCATTTCGTCGCATTGCGCCACATGATGACCCGTCTTGTCGCAAATAGGACACGTAGTAACTTGTTCGTGCTCGGCTGGCTTCACTATTTGAGTGTGGTAGCTCTTCATGGGTCTCCTGCCTGCTGGCTCCCGCCGGTCTTCCACAGGTGTGTTCTCGACGGGCGCGTAGCTCCCACAACGTGCAGCTGTGCGTTGCATGAACTCGGTCAGGGTTACTAGGTCAGGTTGGTATTCTGGCTGTTCCGCAGCAAAGTCATAGTATCGATAGCGCAATGCTGAAGGCAGCTTCTCAACCACGGCGCGCACTATCTCGGCATTGTGTAGATAATGCGGTCTGTTTAGCGCCTTCAATGTGGCCGTGACGTTGATGATCTTCGATGCGAAGTTGCAGATGTCTCTCGGATGTTCGCCCAGACGTGGAAGGGTGCGTAGCTTACTCAGTTCGGCCAGTGCGAGCGCGTCCGAACGACCGAACCTTGATGTCAGTAAGCTCATTACTTCGTTGGAGGACGTGGCTCCGACGAATAAACATTGAGCTGCTTCCCTAGCGGTGCCTTTCAAGCTCCTCCGGAGCCTCGCCAGGTTCTCTTGTTCTGTAAGCAGTCCTGCAGATTCCTCATAGGCTGTCTTGAACGGCAGCCAGTCGCTTGACGAACCGTTGAATATGGGTAATTCTTGAAGTCTTGCAGTAGTGGGTTGAATCGCTCGTGCCGCAGTAGTGATCGCCGTTGCTAACTTTTCATAACATATGTCGTTCGGCGGCTTATGTTCCAGGTGGCCGTCGTTGTTACGATAGTATTGCGGCTGTTGTCTCTCACTTGTGTGCGTGACGTATGTAGAGGGGGGCGCTCCCCCCGCGTAGTTGGTGGGGGGGCACCTGGTCCCAGCTGTCGCAGGTGCCGCGTACGTGGAGATTTTTTCCTGGCGAATGACGTCGCGCGTCGGCGGCGGCGCCTGTGATTCGGCAGGTCTTCCCTTCAATATATCTTCCTTCGTACGTGTGGCGGCAGTGTAGTCTTCCTGCTCTTCTCTTCTCAACCCAATAGTGCTTGTGCGAATCCACTCCGATGTGCGTTCTTCGCGGATCGTGGCTTCCTCCGGTTCGTCTACGTCCGATTCCTCTTCCATTGCCGCGATCTTTGCAGATATTAAATCGATTTTCAGCTTCAATAATTCTTGTTGCGCTTCCGCTAACTGCTTACGACGACTGTTCGAAGAACCGGATCGAAAGGATCGAACAGATTTAGGAGAGCATATTCTCCGTGGTGCTTCGCTTGTAGTGGCGCCGGCTTCGGGTCTCTCTACTAGTTGGGAGACTGGCGAGGTGGCAGTCGGCGCCGCGTCGATTTGTCTGATCGTCGCGTCGGTTTCCACAGTTGCACCGGTTGTACGTGTGGCGTACGTGGAGCGCGTGTGTTCTGAAGTTGTAGCGGTCTTTTCGGTCCCCGTGATCGTGTCAGTGCCCGTCGAACAGGTTGGAGCAGTGGACGAGGATTCTTGGGTATTCACGGGGTATGATTTTGCGCTTCTGGTAACTGGCATTGTTCTTTCTTGATGTAATCCGGCTGCTGAAGGACCAGAAAATGTGGGGGCGGATTAAGAGAAAAACGCCTGGTTGTAAATTGAGCTTCTTGATCTTGGTTTTGCTTGGATCGCGGTGAGATTTGGAACGCCTTCGGAGTCTTGTGCAGTCAATTTTGGAATGTCGTTCCGCTCCCAACGCTCCGCTTTTTATATCATCGCTGGCCCGCCGTGCTGCTCGCATTCTATTCAAGTGTGCGAGCGGGACGCCACCAATGCAGGAGCGGGACGGGAGAACCCTACAGACTCCAAGCAAAACCCCTCTCTCCCTCTCGTTTATTTACCAAACCTTAAACTAAATTAACAATACCAAATTATAATAATAAATCACAATAATAAATTTACAATATTAAAAATCACATGGGCGCGAACACGTTTTCGTCCTGAACAGATATAGACCCACCATTTTGCCAAAAAGTGATTAAAAACTTTGATGAAAGAATCGACATCTGTAACTGTGGTCGTGGTGGACATTTATCAGATATCATTTTTCATTCATAATTGCCAAACCTTACTTTTTTTAATACAATAAAAATTTTAATCATTGTCGTCTAGATTTATTGCTTTATTTTGATTTACAAAACAAAGTTCTTGTTGAAAAACCATTGATTTACAAATAAATGGACGACGGGTCTAATACAAACACCACAAAAAAAGAATGTCCCAAGTCAACCTATTTAAACGTAGTGACATGTAAAGGAATATGAAAAAGCTAAAACGTTGAATTTAAATTGTAATGTCATCGCAGTACTGTCTAATTTTGCTTGCTTCGATGTCAGTCGAACAAACGAAGACTAAAGCGTGAATGACGCTCTGTATACGATTTTAACGCCCTATAAGTTCGGACACTTTTTAGCGCGGACCCGACGTCCATATAATTATAAGTCAATGATAATTAATAACACTTTCAATACGTTTGTATGCCTGATGTTTTTCCCATCGAGTGTATAACCAGAAATAGAGACGAAATGTCATTTAATCTGTTTGAAAATTATTCTGCTATATCATTACCGTGACAACTGCGCTCCGATTGGCCAGCCCGAATTCGAAACAATTGACGGGTGTCGTCAATTGTTTCACTTCAAATCGACCAGTTAACTTTAGCTTTGCTATAATGGACGAAAATTGCAAAATTACATATTTAATATTTAATTACCGATGAAATTTGATTCCGTTTGTTTTGTAATTAGATGTTTTGCTGTTTTTCCTACACCACCGAATAGAACAGCACGCCATTGTTAGATATATTATCTTTATTGCAATAAACACGGAATATTTTTGGAATATACGGAGACGTACACACAGGTCAATTGTTGGCGCTGTACTATTTCAGCTTTCTAATTTGTAATTTCAGTGCAAACGAGAGTTGATATTCATAAGTGATGTATCACTGATGAGTTACCAGAAATGTTTGGCCCTTATTTCGTCTCTGTTTCTGGTTATATACTCGATGGTTTGACCGGACACAGCGTAACTATGCTTATTTTATAGGTCTCTGGTTCATATCCGGCTCGAAGGACCACTTTAGCCTGTTGAGTAAAAGGCTAAGAAAACTTTAAAATAATGTTTTTTATTATATAGAAATTAAATGCTCGTTACGCTTGTACAAATTTTGGAAGAGAGAGAAATGGCCACCAGTGTTGACCACAACAAAAATTACCAGTGTTGCTACAATGAGACTAAAAATATTTTACTATTTTTTTCATATTAATATTATTATACAAATAAACTAAAATTAAACTAAGCTTTTATGTTCTGTACTGAACACATGTTAACTTCCAAACAACCTGTGTTTTTACAAGTAAATGAATTATGATTATGAATGGCGGGTGCAATAATGCTACAAGAAATTAATAACGCACACACTCTGGTATGAACGATTAGTACCATTAATTCTCGCTAACTGTGATGGAAAATATCATGATAAAATTTGCACGTCGAGTGAGGTTCAGGGGCTTACCATAACCTTTCAAAAAACAATCTTATTTCAACATAAGTTTATTATAATATTAGTCATATTCGTACCATGACAAACTTGTCAACCAAGTAATGTATTATTGATTAAGTGACTGAAAGAACGAATGATTTCCCAATATTGTCTATTCCTTACTAAAAATAGGAAAGAAATAACGCTATATGAACTGTGTAATGCCATCTCTTTCTTTTTTAATATTCCGAATCGTTCTGTCGTAGTATAATTTTAAAATACTTAATATTATTTACATTAAGAGAATTTCAACTGCCAAAAAAAGAAAAGTATGTAATAATAAAATCTATTAAAATTACGTTAATTTCAATTATTTCTCCGCATTTTCATGAAGAAAAATAAATAAAACAAGCTGATTCTTGATTGTCACGTTGTGAATTCGGAATTATAATCAACGGCTAGTGTCGCCAAGGAGCATATAGATGGCGCTGTCATAATTTTACAAAATAAACATCACGTATTTTTATTTAACGAGAAATTATTTCCTATGGACTATTAAATAAAAAATAAACAAAATATTGAAGAGATATATGTAAATAAGTAAGTTCAACTTAACTTTTAATCGTTACAAATCAATATTCAGACAATAAATTCGAAAATAATATTGTTTCCATTGCATCCGTGTAACTAATTTAAGATTGCTAAATTTGACATAAGAACAATATTATCTACTTTAATGTTAAGGTCGCGTCATCATAGTACGAACTGAGTGAATGAATAGTCACAAAGCTGCCTATAAAACATCATAGTTTTAACATTATAATAAGCCTACTTTAAGCGCATTTCATGGTACGAAAAGTCAATGTAAGGTTAGAGTAATATTGTTTTAAGAGATTGTGGTAAGCCTCCAGCTTCAAGATATTCATTATTCTATTTCAATATTTTGAAAACCCTACCAAAGATCATCTTGGACACCGGAGTGTTCAACATGATCCTAAGGGTATGAGCAAGATGATCCAGGGCATCACCTTGCCCCTATTTCGGGAAATTTCTAGGCTTTGGTAGAAATAAATAAAGACAACAACTTTTTAGACTTAACAAAGTCCTCATTTATGTTATGTTAGGTATATGAAACAACAATTACGGCACTTCAAGATCAAATAATCCTTATATTTTTTATCTTACAGGGTGTAAGCAGCAAGGTCATATAATTTTTGTTTATTTTTTAATTGACTGATGACAGGTTTGCATAGGAGCCTACACTTTACTAAAGAAGACATCTAGATGACGTTACTAGTTTCGCTGCAATTGAAAAAGATCATCTTACCTCGATGGATCATCGCGTACACCTTTCCCCTACCCATAAGGGCGTAACTATGGCGTAACTATTGATTTCGCATAACAGTCAAAGTGTCGAATCGATCACTTTGGTAAAATTGAGAATATACACTGATAACTATACGGTGTGAATAAATGATTCTTAAAAATGTACACGATAGAATTTGCAAGAAAACCGCTGTATTCAGTGATGTCGATTAACGACTTTTTTTTATTTCAACTGAACTAAGAGACCCCCCACACTAGAGTATTTCGAGCGTCAGTATGTTGTTAACGCACGCACAACGTCGACACGAACGTTCGCGCGGCGGTGATGCAACGTCAACGTGACTTATACCCGACATTCGGCACTGTTTAGGGGGTCTACTTCCGTTTTTTTTAAACTATTACTGTCAAATACGTAATACTCAATGAAATCAAAAAACAAAGTATCAAATTTCATTCGCATCGTGCTTCTTTTCATTTGGTCGAGTGGTAGGCCACTATACCGGCGAATTTGCCGGGTCGGTAAAACTGCCGGAAAGGCTGTACAATTTATATGAAGCTATTCACATTACGCCGTTTGTCACTGCTGATCGCCGGCAGAACGCCCGGACCGGAGTAATGGGAATGACGTCGGACGTCTTCCCAATAAATCATCAAAAGAGGATGCTGTCTTTCGAAAATAATTGAAGAACTTTGACTTGTCACTTCTCAGTTGACCCATTAAAAATCTTTCCCGTAAAAAGGGATGTACACAATGTTTTTTGTTTTTACTCTAAGCCTTCTAAGATACCACCACAACACCACAATTTCGTCGTCTATCGTGTGTAGTGGTCTGAATTCGACTGAGGTAAGTACTTTAGTCTCCGGTTTTCTTGCGAGATCCGGCTTAACGTGAACACCTAGACCGAGTGCCGGTTTCTCGGCAAATTCATAGTGGGAACTAGGCCTTACTTACGTATTTCCCCGTAATTGTTTCTAACGGATGTCGGATGGAGAACGGATGTAGACCCAGTGGCGGATGTGCTCTAAGGCCCAGTAGACCCGGGCCAAGGTCGACCAGATTCTAGGGGCGGCCAATCGTGACAAATAATTCACTGATGACACAAGAAATAACTTAAAGTACCTCCATATTCTAAAGGCGCACGCACATTATGGCGGGTCGCACTGCACCGCATTGATTTCATATATTTCTGTTAGTTTACGGGGTGCACGCCAGTAAAGCCCAGCCGGCAAGATTTTTTCCGACATCTTCAACGTTTATCGTCATATTTCAGCCAACTTACACAAAACCTAAGTAAATTATACACCAAAGCCTTCCTCATGAATCACTCTGTCTACTGGTGGAAACCGCATGTAAATCCGATCAGTAGGTTTTGAGTTTATCGCGATCAAACAACATTACATTATAGATATGTAACATATCTATATTTTATACGTAAAATGTACGAAAGTGATTTAGGAAGATTATTGTTACCATATCCACCATAATGTGCTTGAGCCTTTAGAATGTTTAGGTACTTCGAGTTATTTCTTGTTATCGTCAGTTAATTATTTGTCAGAATTGGCCGCCCCAGGCCCGGGCCTACTGGACCTTAGGGCAAATCCGCCTCTGCATTTTAGATAAATAAAAAAAATTGGCTTTTCAATTTCACATGCATAAATTTCAAACAAAACAAAAAAAAATTGATAGAAATAAATTCAATTAAAATAAAAAAGAAGCATACAAAATAATGAAATAAAAAAAAATAAAAATAAAATAGAAGCATGTCAAAAGGGTCCACGACTCAGCCTCTGAGGACTATGTTGATTATATAGCCCTCGCTGTTATTTTGTCATCGCCCGTCATAATACGGAACACCACAATTCAAATAATAATAAATGTACCAGCCACAGACGTGCCAGAATGTCTAACCCTCTTCCGACATTCAGGCACGTCTTGGTACAAGCCAAGTTACAATCATGCCTTGTGCATCAGCATAGAACACACGTACCAAATTAGTATAAGTAGCTCATACAAAATGTAAACCTCACTCAGTCAACCAGACTCAGTCAACCAGAGTCAGTTAATCCTCATGCGGTATTCATTCAGTATCCAGTAAACTCTCATCAAATATCCACAACATATATATTTTATTTATA